TTGGAAGACAGGGCCAGGATCAGCTGCAGAGGTGACAGTTCAAAGTGCATTTTTCTGTCCATAAAATCACTTTTGGCCCTTAACTTGGCCAACAAATCCCTCCCTAAGAGGAGAACTGGACAGTCAGGCATGTACAGGAACTGATGGACCACCTCATGGCCCCTATTTTATAAATACTCAGCTGGCAAAAGGTTTGTGCCTTAGTTTGTCCTGTAGCCCCCTTGACATCAGCTGTCTTGTGGCTGAGGCCCAGTGGGGAATATCACAACCAAGTGGTTTGTTCCCGTATCAATTAGGTCTGGGGAGTTTCAGTCTATTAAGGCCTTGTGGAAGAAGCAGGGGGCACAGTAGGCACTGGGAATTTGGGGCCAAACCCGAGGTCAGAATGAATATGCAGTGGAGTCAAAACAGAGAGGGAGAGCCGGGTATTTAGCTCAGTGGTTCTGCTGCCTGCCTCGCAAGCTCAAGGTCCTGAGTTTGATCCCTGTTACTCCCCACCCAATCTTACTCCAGAAAACAAAGAGGGAGACTCTAAGGCTGCACCTGGCATGGGGCCTCCTGGAACTGAAGGGCCTGGCTCTGGAGGTGCTGAGGGTCCTCGAGCTGGGGCTGGTATCTGTTGCCCTTAGAGGGGAAGTTGGTCCAGAAGCAGGAGGCTCAATACATCTAAGGCCGAATCATCTGAACCACCCTCAAAAACAGATGGAATTTTGGCAGGTCTTTGTCTATTTGGAAGGGCTGTTGTGGTGACCAGAACTCAGGAAACGGGTTCCCTCAGCCAAGGGGGTGGACAAAGAACTAGTTGAGTCCATATAAGAGAACTAATCTGGGTGTCTGTTTTTTTTTTTTATCATAATGTGATAACCTGTCACATTTCTTGGATTAAGTTTTCTTTTAATTAATCTTATGGGGGCCATCCAACCTGCAAGGATGGCCATTCTATCTCATAAAGGGTCTTCTTGAGTTTCCCTGGAGTAAGTTTCTGATCATTATCTCCAGTAAATCCCTTCTTAAGGTGTTTTTACTGTGGTTCCCACCCATAGAATTTCCTCACACAGAAATGAATGACAAACAAGACATCGGTTGCTTCCTCTGTCACCGTCCAGTCTCCTTGCAGAGATATTTCAGGCTCCTCTTAGCACTGGCAGCCCAGCTATCCTGGCCATCACCATAGTGCTGCCCTAACCCATATGAGGTAGCCCTGGAACCTTGGTTCAGGACTCTGCACTGTGCACCTGACCAGAGTCAAGAATGTGATGTCCATCTCATTCACACACAGGCACTCACGGATTCAACCAAAAACTCCCAACTGCCAACAGCAGCAGCCAAACCTGCCTTCTGGTAGCCTAAAGTGCTCCAGTTTCAGGGCACCCTGGCAGTTACTCTGGGAACACAGAGGGTGATCAATCCTGTTTTGGAGATTCCTTCTTGGATCTCCTTCTCAAAGTGGGGGCCCTCAACCTGACTGATTCACACGGATGCCAAATACCATTTGGTCCTCTCTGTGTGAGCCCTCCTCAGGCAGCAAGCTGGAGTGCCTTGGCCAGTCACACAGGGAGACTCCCACATGACAAAAAACACTGTGCTGGTGTGGGCGTGCTCAGCAGGGGCTTGCTGTCCAGCCAGTGGAGCTCCCTGCTGCGCCTTGGGGGAGGCACTCAGCCATGGGTGACTGTCCCGAACCCCAAAACCTCCTGGCTGGCTTGCCAAATGAAGCATGACCACCTGGGGGGTCTCTGGACAGACAACTGATCACACTGAGTCGGAGCTAAAAATTAGCTTTATTGCTAGTGGTTTCACGGGATTCAAATCACCTTGAAAACATCGAACAGAAGTTTACTCTCATTTTTATACCTTTATGTTTCTATGGGAGGAGAAACAGCAACCGTAATCACTGGGGCAATAGCTATCAATGTAAATATAATTACATGAGCAAAGGGGCAATGAAGCGGGAGCAGGTTTGGCAGGGCTCTCTGAAATCCCCTTGCTTTAGTGAGTTTGCATTACAGTAGTGACTATAGTTACAATATATCTCTCTTTTCTTTTCTTTTTTCTGTACCAGGGACCAACTTGGGTCCTTACAATATATCTTTCTGAGCAAGCATGGTTACACAGTTAACCCATAATTGCCCATTTTTACACTGAGGGACAGTTTTTGCCCTCACTGTAATGAACATCTCCCAAATATCCACAGTTTAATACAACAGAGGTTTGTTTATTTTTGTAGTTGGTTGTCTTGCTTCCCAGAGTACCTGTTAAGGAAGACTCGCTGCTCCTAGTGCTGAAATTTAAACTCAGCTTCTCATGCTCAAAGACCCAGTTAGTTAATCTCTGCTTCTTCCATGGCACAGGACCCACTGTACCTGCTGTTTCCAAGAACAAACAAGCGAAAGCCTCTCCATTAGCCAGTGTTTCTCGAGGCGCTACGCTACGTATGCTAGGACCATGGTTTGGTGCTCGAGATGTGTACAAAGCACACATAACTGTTGTCCTCATAGAGCTGGTGACCTAGTTTCCAAATCTGTAGGGTGACCCTAAAACCCACTGCTCAGACATGGAGGGAGGATTCAAGGTGTACTGTTATTTTGGTGTGTACCCCTTCCTGTTCATCCAGATTCGGGTCTGATCTCATTAAGCCCAGGGAACATTCCCCCCTCACTATTCACACTGCCTTGTCTAATCATCAAGAACCTGTAAAGTGACTATAATATTAATAATGTGAATAGCATTAATGACAAGTAATTTTTTCAACCATTGAGCTTACATTCTCTGACCTTTTTCTTTAATTTTTAGACAGGGTCTTGCTAAATTGCTCAGTTTGCCCTCAGTGGCAAAACTTGCAGTCTTCCTGCCTCAGCTTCTCAACTAAGATTATAGTTGTGTGCCACCATGCCTGGCTGATAATAGCTAATTTTATACGTCAAGCTCTGTTTTAAGTATTTTATTGGTGAAAACCCATGTCATCATCACAATAACTATCTGAGCCTACTGTAATGATTATCTCCACTTACAGATGACGAAATTAAAATACAAAGAGTAATTTGCTCAATGCATAGGCTGTCATCCAATCCAGACAGAAATCCCAAAATCAAAATAAGCTGGTGAGCTGGTTCCTGCCTCCCTGCGGGCCCACTCAACCCTACTGTCCACCACAGCCAGAGCCAACATCATGCAGCAGGTTGGATGGGGCACTGCTGCTGTCGGCATAGGCAGGGAACTGGCGACCTTACCACCCTGAGTTTTCCTACCCATCTGCAGACAGAGTGTATCAATTGATTTAGAACTTTCCTCAAAGTTTTTCAATAAAGTTGAAAAGGGCCGGGGATTTAGCTCGGTGTTCTGCAACCTGCCTTGCAAGTGCAAGGACCCAAGTTCGATCCCCTGTACCAAAAAAAAAAAAAAAGTTGAAAAAAATTTAAGCCGGGTACATTGTCACACAGTTCCAGCTGCATAAGGGACTGAGGCAGCATAATATAAAACCCAGTCCTTCTAGATTTATTCTAGGCACTATACATTCATAATTGTTTTTTTCTTTTACATTTCCTGACAGTTTGTTGCTATGGCTTATCAAGGAAACTTATTTTAAAATCTTTCTAACTTTAGTGAATTTAACTCCATATGTAGTCTGAGCCAGAGACCTGGGAGTTCCCCAGGACCTGCCTACTCCTCACCACACCTTCCAGTTGCATCCCTGTCTGATAGATTCCATCTCTTGATTCTACGCCCCTTCTCTAAGGATTGAACCCAGAACCCTTGCACTAAGCTACATCCTCAGCCCCCTTTCTATTTTTATTTTGAGACAGGGTCTTACTAAGTTGGTGAGTTGCCCAAGCTGGGCTCAAACTTGTGTGATCCTCCTACCTCAGCTTTCCAAAGTGCTGGGATCACAGTTGTGTGCCTCCACGTCAGCTTCTGTATCCCATTTCCTCTGCAAATGTTCCATCTCCATCTCCAGGCATCCATATAAGCCTAGTTATTTTTGACCTGGGGTGATTCCTCACTGATCTCCCAGCCTTCACAGAGCTGGAGCTACTGCCAGCCCTTAGGTACACTTTTTTTTTTTTTTTTTTTTTTTGTACCTAGGATTGAACTCAGAACCTTGCGCTTGTGAAGCAGGCACAGTTCCCCTGAGCTAACCCCCCAACCCCCCTTAGGTACACTTTTCTACAAAGCAGCAAAAGGTGTCCCTGCCTCACAGCACTGTACCTCCATCTGTCTGTCAGACAGTTGTAACTAACACCTATTCAGAGGTGTGATGCGTGGGTCATGAATGGAGGCCCTCCAGCACGCTGCTCCATGTAGCACACGCCACCAGTCATCTGACAACCCAGCGTGTGGCCACTAGCAGAAGCTTTGTGAAAGGAAGATCTGACAATGACATTGTCATGGACGGAATGCTTGAACCCCCCCCATCTATATGTTGACACTAATTTCCATTGTGAGGGTATTAGGAGCTCCAGCCTTTGGGAGGGAATTAGGTTTAGATGCGAAGGTGGAGTGCCTATATTACTGTCCTTATAAGAAAGAGGCATCAGAGCTTCCTGTCCAACTGTGAAGACACAACAAGAAGGTAGCATCTGCACACCAGGAAGTGAGACCTCCCCAGGAAATGAATCTGCTGGCACCTTGATCTAGATCTTGGACTTCAGTCTCTACAGTTGTTTGAAATACTATCTGTAGTATATGCTGTCCAGTATATGGTATTTTGTTAAAGGAGCAGTCAAACTGAATGAAACATATTCCTTGGCTTAAAATTACTGAGCACCACTTCACTTTTGTCTTGGTGGCAGTGATAGGAATCAAACCCATGTCTCATCTGCCTTTGCCACTGAACTACATCCCTAGGCTCTCTTTACCATTCTTTCTCTAGGATCTCCCCCACTCTTTTTGTCATTTGGCAGTGACACTAAAACAACTTTATTTTGTATAACAAGTTTATTTATTTATTTATTTATTTGGTACAGGGGATTGAACTCCAGTTCTTGTGCTTATGAGGCAGGCGTGGGCACCACTGAGCCAAATCTCCAGCCCCTGTATATTTCTTTAAAGGCATATAGACAAAACAAAGTAAACATTTAAACAGATTTTAATTTCTGTCCTAGAACTGTTCTATTGTCAGTCTCTAAATATTTTTAGTTCAGTAATCATCTTCATCAGAGTCTATTTTTCTTCTGCTGAATTTAACTGTTTTCTTTTGTTTACCGGCTTACTTTTCAAGGAATTTCTATTAAACCTTCCCACTTAGCTGTCCATACTGTGCCATCTGTATAAGGTAATTCTCTACTGCTTTCATTCTTTCAGGCTTTAGGAGTGCTGAGTTACTTAACCTGGCCCCGGCTGATTGATCCAGAACTTGGGCTAAGACACTGTTTCTCATTTCTGCTTCTCTGTGCTTTGCTTTTTGTTGTGCTGCATCGTTAGGATCCCCGTGCTTCACCTGCAGCTCGGCCAGCCTCTGCTTCCTCAGCGCCTCCAGCGCCTCCAGCTGCTCATCCGCTGTGGCCTGACTGTCGCGGGGTAGCAGCGGTAGCCACAGTCAGGCCCACCCAGAATGATCTCACGCAACCCCCACCTCTTTCTTTACTTTACTTTTTTTTCCCCAATGGGGTCTTGCTAAGTTGTTAAGCTGGCATTATACTCACAATCCTCTTGCCTCCGCCTCCCAAGGAGCTAGGATTATGAGGACACAGCATCACACCAGGCTCTTTCTTTAATAAGGTAGTATTTTCATGTGGCTCAAACAGTGAAATAATATAAGAGTTATGCCATAAAATTCTCACTGTAACAACTGTACTAACCATTTTGTTCCCACAAACCACCCCTAGGGAAGTTATATTAGTTTCTTACATAACTTCAAGATTTCATGAGGATATAAGCAAACATACATGTACCTTTTTTCTCTTTTTAAAAGTTTTTTGTTGTTGTTTTTTGTTTTGGTACCGGGGATTGAACTTGCGTCCTTGTGCTTGTGAGGCAGGCAGCAGAACCACTGAGCTAAATCCCCGGCCCTTCTTTTTAAAAGTTTATAGCAATTTTTAAAATAATTGTCCAAACTTGGAAGCAACCAAAATGTTTTTCCATAGGTGAATGCATAATCTGTGATACATCCAGGTAATGGAATACTAATCAGCACTGCAAAGATCCCTGGAGCCATGAAAGAACATGGAGGAAAGTTAATATATATTGTCCTGTGAAGGCCAATCTGAAAAGACCACATACTGGGTGATTTCAAGTATATGACATTCTGGAGAGGGCAAAACTATGGAGTCAGGATCTCCAGGGGTTGGGGAGGGAATGAATGAATGGAGCACGTAGGATTTTTAGGTTAGTAAAAATATTCTGTGTGACACTATGTTGGATACAAGTCATTATAATTTGTCAAAACCCACAAAATGTACAACACAAAGAATGAAGCCTAATATAAACTATGGACTTTAGCCAATAGTAATGTATTGCTTCTGATTGATCAACTGTAACAAATATAGTACACTAATGCAAGACGTTAATAATAGGAGAAGCTGGGTGAGGTATCACATGAGGACTCTATGCCTTCAGGTCAGTTTTTCTGTAAACCTGAAACTGGTTCAAAAAAGATCTATTAATTAAAGCAAAACTGAATTGTATTCTATGTAGCTCAGTTCTTGGTAAGTCTATCCTCCGGCCGGGGATTTAGCTCAGCGGTTCAGTGGCCTGCCTTGCAAGCACAAGGACCCAAGTTCAATCCCCGGTACCAAAACAAAAACCAAAAAAACAACAAAAAAACCCAAGTCTATCCTCAAGGCATCTGGGGACACAAGGATGGCTAGGGCACCATGCAGCAATTACTGGGGTGCAAGGCAGTCCAGCTGCAGGCTCTTCCCGCCATTTGCCCCTCCTGGTAGAGAAGGAGGAAGGCCTGTGTAAATGTGTCATGCTTTCCAGCAAACAGCAGGAAGGCAGAGAACTTTTTTAGTAACAGCTTCTTGGCAATTGCCTTAAGAATAATATGCAAAAGTGCCCTATCTTTAGGGGTGTGTTCTGGCCTCCTACTTTATGTTCCAACCAGGTTGCTTCTCACCTAATACAATGCTCAGGAGTCTTCATCATCTTCTTTGCACATTCACGGCAGAATGCATCTTCTAGTCTTGGCGATAGGACAGGGCAGCCCCACAACAAGAAGAGAGAACTTGCCGTCCTGAGAGTGCCTGCCACCCAGCCTGACCTGCTCCCCTGCATTGAACGTACAGCTTTTCTCCTTTGCAACACTAGATCTGATACACTGATTCTGTATCTTCATTTTTAACTAGCACGTTTCATGTTCATACCTAGCATGAGCTGTCACACCCAGCCCTATACCTAATGAGGTTTCTAATTCTTTTTTGGGGGGAGGGGCACTGGGGGATTCAACCCAGGGAACACTGAGTTACATCTCTTTTTTATTTTATTTTATTTATTTAATTATTTTGGTACCAGGGATTGAACTCAGGTCCTTGCACTTGTGAGGAAGGCAGTGGAACCACTGAGTTAAATCCCTGGCCCTTATTTATTTTATTTTGAGACAACATTTGCTAAATTGTCCAAGCCAGGCTGTGATCCTCCTGCCTCAGTCTCCTGAGTAGCTAGGATTACAGACATGCATCACTATATCCAACCTGGGCATGGTGGCCACACCTGTAATCCTTGCATTCAGGAGGCTGAGACAAGGATCACCATGAGTTTGAAGCCAGCCTGGGTCAGAGTAAGTTCAAAGCCATCCTGAACTACATAGGGAGACCCTGTCTCAAAAACCAACCAAACAAACAAAAACACAAATAGATGTAGTGAGTTAAAATTCTATTTCCCCACCCCTTGCAGTTGGTATAGATTTGTGTCTTTCTTTGAATACAGTATGTTAGAAGTTACGTGCAGACTCAGAGCAGGGTCTCAAGAGGTATGGCAGCTTCCTCTTTCACCCTCTGGGAACCCTGAGGTCACTGTGCTATGAATAAACCAGGATAAAAGATCACATGGACGGAGTGGCTCAACTACCGTCGTCAGCTTAGCCAAGATCCCACACATGAGTGTTTCTGAGCACATGGTGGGTCATCCAGCCCCAGCAGAGGCATCAGCTGACTAAAGCCACTTGCATAATCAAGGCCAGATCAGCAGGAAAACAATGAAGCTGTCCTTAGAATCTGGAAAAACAATAAATGGTAGTTTTAGTCCAGTTATTCACTCCAAATTTCTGGGGGTGATTTCTTATGCAGCAGTAACTAACTAATACAACAGGAAGCTCTTCTGGGTTTTCAGGATTGGAACCGTTGGTTCAAGTATATATGTATGATCTGCTGTGTTGTACCATTTTACTATTCCACCAACAATGTGTGAAAGTACCTGCTTCCCACAGTCTTGCCCAAAAAGAGTCCTCAAACTTACAGACTTACACTAATACAATAAATAAAAAATAGTAGTTTAAGACTGGCAAGCTCAGGTCCTGAGTTTGATTCCCAGTACTGAAAAATAAACAGTTTAGTAGTATCTTAGTTTAAATTTTTATCATGATAAATGATATCAGACATCTGCCTATATGTTTAAGGCCTTATGGTTTATGTTTTTTGTTTGTTTTGTAGTACTGGGGATTGAACCCAGGGTGTTCATGCTGAGCTGCATCCCCAGCCCATCTCCTCCTCCCGGCCCTTTTTTAATTTTTTGTTTTGTTTTTTTGAGACAGGGTCTCTATGTAGTTGAGAATGACCTGGAACTCACTATGTAGCCCAGGCTGGTCTTGAACTCACAGAGATCCTCCTGCCTCAGCCTCCCAAGTGCTGGGATTACAGGCGTGAGGCGTGAGGATTGAACCCAGGGTGTTCATGCTGAGCTGCATCCCCAGCCCATCTCCTCCTCCCGGCCCTTTTTTAATTTTTTGTTTTGTTTTTTTGAGACAGGGTCTCTATGTAGTTGAGAATGACCTGGAACTCACTATGTAGCCCAGGCTGGTCTTGAACTCACAGAGATCCTCCTGCCTCAGCCTCCCAAGTGCTGGGATTACAGGCGTGCGCCACCACGCCTGGCTGCCTTTTTTAATTTTTGAGTTTTTCATCTTGATCTTGCTAAGTCAGTAAATTGCTCAGGCTGAGCTCAAACTTATGATCTTCTTGCCTCAGCCACCCAGAGTGAGTGCCGGAATTAAAGGTGTTAGCCACCATGCCAGACCCATCATGTTCTCTGCCTATATACTGTTGGTCTTTCTTATCAGTATATGGAAAATCTTTAACTGGTAGGGAGATTAGCTATTTGTATATGATAAGAATTGAAAATAGCTTTTGTAGTTTATCTTTTGATTCTGCTTATGATGTTTTGACTATACAACATTTTTTACAGATAAATGTACTTGGGGGTGGGGTACTGGAGATTGAACTCAGGTCTTCCCAATGTGCTATATCCCCAGTCCTTTTTACATTTTTTGAATTCTGTGACAGGGTTTTGCTAAATCACTAAGTTGTTCAAACTGGGCTCTGACTTTTGATCCTTCTGCCTCAGCTTCCCAGGCTGTTGAGATTACAAGCATGCACCACTGTCTAGTTGAGACAAATGTATCAATCTTTTCTTTTATAGCCTTTCTCACTCCAAGTTATAACAGATTTTCCCCTTATTTTGGTATTTATCCTGACAATTTCATGTCTATTATCTTTATTTTTCTTGGTGCAGGGTGGGATTGAACCCAAAGTCTCGCACATGCTAGGCAAGTCAAAATAAATGGCATGAGTGACCCAGTGTCACCCACATGGGAAAGAAGCACAGGAGGAGGAAAAGCTAGTGTAGGAGGTTTTCTGGGAAAATGTGGTGGTTTCTGTTAGGTATATGGTGAGCTCAAGGTGCTTATATGACCTGTAGGAAGCCAACAGATTTGGAGGTCTGAGCTCAGGAGAAAGTCTGGTATGGAGACACAGATTTGGAGGCCACCATAGAGATGTCAGCTATAAGACTGTGTGTAGAAGGCAAGCATGGTGGCATAGGTCTGTAATCCCAGTACTCTGGGAGGCTGAAGGAGGGTTGCAAGTTCAAGCCCAGTCTAGGGAGACCTTGTCTCAAAATAAAAAATAAAAGGGGAAAAAATAAAAAGGGGTGGCATATAGCTGAGTGGGAAGCCCCTGAGTTCAATCCCCAGTACTAGGATTTAAAAAAAAAAAGTGTGTGTGTGTGTGTGTGTGTGTGTGTGCAGTTTGAAGAGGGGAAAGTCTCAGAACTCTAGGGAGTGGTCAAATTCAGGGCTCAGACATGCTCATGAGTTGGGCGTGGTGGAGCATGCCTGTAATCCCAGCTCTCAGGAGGCTGAGGCAGGAGGATCACCAAGAGTTTGAGGTTAGCCTGGGCTACATATTGAGTTCATGGCTACCTTGAATTACAGAGCAAGACACGGTCTCAAAAAGCCAAAACCAAGGGCTAGGGATTTAGCTCAGTGGCACTGCGCCTGCTTCACAAGTACAAGGTCCTGAGACTGATCCCTGGTACTGCAAAACAACAACAACAACAACAAAAGCCCAAACTAAACCAAATCAAACCAAAGCAAAAAAACATGCTCAAAAATGAGGACCACACAGGTGCTGTCTCCACAGTCAGGGAGGCTTGCCCCAGAAAAGGCCTCAGAGATTTCATACAATGAATGTAGGCCCTCACATGACATACGTGTGGACAGCGATGGCTTCTGGGGATAAAGCAAACGGACAAGGAAGAGCAACAACAACCTGCTAGCAGTCAGTCCCAAGCCGGCAAGTGTGGGAGAGACCCTGTGACAGGGAAGAAGAGGGTTCAGTCAGGCATGAAGCCCGCCCCCAATCTGAAGCAGGAATCACTAGATGGTGGCAAGTCCCCAAGAGTGGGTGGAACATAGAGATCCACCCTACTGGTATTTCCCTTCGATCACAGCATAGTGGCTAAAAGTATAGACCCTAGACCTGCGTTATCTGCCTTCAAATCCTGGCTCTATTATTTACTCACTGGCTAACCTTGGGCAACTTACTTAACTTCTCTGTACCACGGTTTCCTCTTCTGTAAAATGAGGACAGTAACAGTACCTATCTCACAGAATGGTTATGAGGATTAAATGAGTTAATACTTAGAGAGTGCTTATATGGGTACCTAGAAATAATTTCATTCATTCATGAATATTTATTGACTAGTTGGTATGGGCCTGGCACTATTGGAGTCAATAATATAGTGGGGAGAGTGGTGGTGAAGACAGATAAAGTAAATCAGCAAAATACACAGTCTGCCAGATCCATGTGGAGACAGGAGAGACACTGAGGGATTGGCAAGGGCATGAACTTGGCACCTGGAGCCCAGGGGGCTCAGGAGATGGAAGGGGAGGGAAGACCCTGGACAAATAGCAGAGTGGAAATCTCCACAGACACTGGGGCTGCTGAAATCCTCAGAGTAACAATCATCACCATCACTGTCACACAATAGCAAACACATGTATATAGAACTATCACACAGCAAACAGTGCTCTATTCACTTACTTAGGTCATCTCATCTAATGTGTACAGTAACCCTTGAGGTTGGTAGTACTGTTCTCCCCATGGGAGCTCAGGCACAGTTTAGTAACTTGCTGCATGGAGTTGATATGGGGCTTGGCCATCTGGCTCCGGTGCTGGTAGATCATAGCTGCAAGCAGGGGGAACAGGATAGGTCACCGAGCCTCAGGCAGACTGGAAGGAACGTATACCCCCAGCACCTCCACACCCAGGACGCACTGTATTCAATACACACTTTCTTCCCTGGCTTGAACTTTCACATGAGTTCTCTAGGAAAAAGCCCTGGGACCCAGAACTAATATTCCGTCTTGGCTATACAGAGACTTGCTGAGTGACCCTGGGGACTCCTCATTTACGTTCCACAAGGGCAGGGATTTTCACCTGTTCGTTCCTAATCTGTCTTCGGTCCCCAGGCCAGTGTCTGGCCTGTTCTATGTACCCAATAAATATCAGTCAAGTGAATGTCTAGAGGGGAAGGGTTAGGGAAATGGCACAGTTAAAAGCCCGAAGCCTAGAGACCAAGGAACCAGGGGCTTTCTCTCAAATACATGAAAGGGCTAAACTGTTCACAAATATTTTATGAGGGTCAGTTATGTGCTGGGTTCTGACCTTGGTTAAATTCAGGACCAGACCCCAGGTGCAAGGTAAGGGCTGTCGGCATAATCGGCTGGGAAGCAATCCGTACTGCATCATGCAGACACCACTCAGACCGAGCTGCGAAGGTGAGCAGTCGGCTGGACTGCGGCGCTCACGCGGGACGCTGGCCGCCCACCTGTCAGGGGCTGGGCCAGGAGTGTGTGGGAGGAGCTAGTTCTGCCTCGGCGAGGCCACTTCCCACTTCTCTGCCTACAAAACCCTGCAATTCTGATGCCGAAGACTTGCATCTTATTATTTTCTGACTTTCGAAGTCCCATGAAGCTGACAGCCTCAAATTTTAAGTCATCCGTCTGCCCACGCTCCCGTACCCCAAAACAATGAAAACGAATTCAGCAAGGGTCCCACCATCCTCGGCCTCAGTAGGTCTCTGGGTAGTCAGTGCACTGCGCCCCCTCGCTGGCACCGCAGAGGCGTAGCTTGGACACCGGCGTGACGGGGACGCCTGGGACAGGTGTCTCGCGAACGGAGGGTACAGAGCCGGGCACGTGACACTCTCTGCGGCCCGCAGGAGGGGCCAGCGGTCACGTGACGCGGGGCGCCCTGGGGTGATGTGAGACGCCGGCCTCTCGGATTACGTCCAAACGACGCAGTCCCACCCCTTTGGCAACTGTCAGATTTCCGTCCCGGGGTGCGATGGTTCCGGTGAAGAGGGCGGGCTCTCGCGGCCCAGCATCTTTGTTTCCGCTCGGGGCGTCGCAGCTTCCGGCCCTGCCTTTCCCTCGGGCAAGGAAGAGACGTGCTCTCCTGCGCATGCCCCGAACCATCCCGGAGGGGCGGGACAGTGGCTGCGGGAGCGGGAGGGGGCAGAAAAGGGAATTCCAACGTGTGGAACTTCGAGGGACCCGAGGTCTGCTCCTTCCCATTGACTGTGGACGGTGCAAGGGGCGGGGCCTCTGGCGGCTAGTGGAGGTGTTGGGGTCCGCAGGGTGACGGAGGGGAATGTCAGTGTGAGTGGGGTCCCGCACGTCTGAATTTAGAATCGTGAGGCCCTCGGGGCTCAGGCACCGCGGAGAGAGTGCTTGGGCGGCCATGCGGGACAGAACCCACGAGCTGAGGCAGGTGAGAAGTCGGGGAGCAGGGCTGGGGGCGGGCGGATGGGCTGGAATGCAGGACTCCGGGTTTGGGGCACGGAGGGGCAGCTGATGGCAGTGAGGAAAATCCCGGAAGCCTATGGGTCTTGCGAGGCGGGAGCCCCACCAAGGAAGTGGTGCCAGTGACTCCGGCCCTGGCAGGGGGATAACAGCTCGGATGAGGAGGACAAGGAGCGAGTCGCGCTGGTGGTGCACCCGGGCGCGGCCCGTCTGGGGAGCCCGGACGATGAATTCTTCCAGAAGGTAAGAAGGGCCTGGGGTCTTGGCCCGGCTTCTGGAGGGGGCAGGAGGACTGAGGAGCAGCGCGATCTGGAGCAGCCTATACCTCTCTCAGCCCTCTCGGTCATCCTTCTTAGGTCCAGACAATTCGGCAGACTATGGTCAAGTTGGAGAGTAAAGTCCGGGAGTTAGAGAAGCAGCAGGTCACCATCCTGGCCACGCCCCTTCCCGAGGAGAGTAAGCAAACCCGGGCGCACGCATGCTCAGTCCGCTGGGTTGTGGGGGTTGTAGTTCTGCGCAGGTGGTGTCCAGGGTGGATTCTTTGAAGCTGGGGCTGTGATTTCGATGGAAGTCATAGTCTTGTTTGTGTAGGCATGAAGCAGGACCTGCAGAACCTGCGTGATGAGATAAAACAGCTGGGGAGGGAGATCCGCGCTCAGCTGAAGGGTGAGCTCCTAGGACCTCGGACAGATCCTTCTGTAGGGTCCCGCCCTTTTCCTGGTTTGTCTGGGGAGTGTGTTCTCTGAAAGGCCAGTAATAAATCCAGGTCACACAGCAGGCCTGTATCTAGAATTTCTGACCCCTGGCATCCAGTCCACGGCACTCTCCATAGCACGAGCCTGCCTCTCATGTTCCTTTATTTGCAATGAAACACATTACATAATTCTTGCTGCCCAATGTGCATTCGTTGGGCAAACAGATGGGGGTTTCTGTTAGGAGACCTCTTAATACTCGTGAGAACCCACTGATGTAATGCAAAGAAAAATAAATTTTCTCCTGTCAGAGATTTAGCATTAATCCATTTATTTATTTATTGTGGCTTGGGAATAAAACCCAGGGCCTTGTGCATACCAAGCACGTACATTACCACTGAGCTACATCCCCAGCCTTAGTCATTCTATAATTATATTTCCCTAAAAAATCTTATGGAGACAAGAACTTCCCTGTTTTGTAGCTGATATATGATCCCATCCCTGTGTCCTGGTACCCAGTTTTCAGAAGCCTTTTCAAGCCCCTTTTTCTCCACTTCCACAGCCATAGAGACTCAGAAGGAGGAGGCTGATGAAAATTATAACTCTGTCAACACGAGAATGAGAAAAACCCAGGTTGGTTGGTTTTTCCCAGAACTGGGAAATTTCAGCAAGTGTTTCCTAAGTAATTAAATGGTAGATGTTTGATGAGATCCTCAACTGCGACCTGATGATTTTCCAAATGAGGAAGCTGAGTGCCATAAAGAGAAAGGACTTGCTCATGGTGGAGAACCCAGGTCTTCTGATTCGGCACTGCATTGTAACACCCTGCTTTCTTTTCCTCCTTTCAATGAGAAGCTGCTGTGTCTGCAGGCATGACCTAAGCTTGTCTGTGGGAGACAGGCTTTCAAAGAGATGAGATGGGGAATTTGGTTAGGTAGGAGACAAAGACATTACTCATGTAGGATTTGGTGCTTAATGGTTCTGCCCAGGGAAGGAGAGGGAGAAGTCAGAAATGTCTTGGCAGGTTTCTGCCTCTATGACAGGGACATCCTTGGCCTTAGGGACAGAATTCAAGAAATCAGGAAGAGGAACTTCCCTAGGACAACGCTGAAGAGGAACTTCCCTGGGTAACATCTTAGTAAGGAGATTTGAAATGATCTGCTTGCCCTCCCCCCTGCCCCTGGGTGCTCACTGAGAAGTACTTTGGGCTTCTTGGAGGTTGGGGTTGGAGAAGGTGGGCCCAGAGCTCAGCAAACATCCCAGATTGAAGATGGAGAGGTTTGGACTTCTTGAAAGGATGCTGCTAAGTCCAGAAAAGGAGACATGTCTCTTGTAAAGGTACTCTGTCCCAGCACTCAGGAGACTGAGAAGAGAATTGCTGTGAGTTTGAGGACAGACTGGGCTACATAATGAGTTCAAAGCCAGCCTGGATTACAGAATAAGACCCTGACTAAAAAAAGATCTCTTAGCCTGGTGTGGTGGTGCATGTCTGTAATCCCAGCACTTGGGAGGCTGAGGCAGGAGGATCGCTGTGAGTTCGAGACCAGCCTGGGCTACACAGTGAGTTCCAGGTTGGTCTCAACAACAATGAGACCCTGTCTCAACCCCCCCGCCAAAAGTCTCTTAAGGGGGCAGCAAAGGGAAAAGAAGAAGTAAAAGTTGTGTTATGTATATGTACTAACTTCCCATGATGAATGTAATCATTATGTCCTGCAAACATGTACTAATAAAAATAATAATAAAAAAATAAGATACACTAAAGTGGGCGTGGTGGCACATGCCTGTAGTCCAAGCACTCTGGAAGTCTGAGGTAGAGGAGGATCACAATTTCAAGGCCAGCCTGGGAAACTTAGAAATTTATTAAGATCTTCTCTCAAAATAAAGGCGCTAGCTCATTGCAAAGGCCCGGCATCCAACCACCAATACTGGGTAGAAGAAGGGTCTGAAGAAATGAGCTTGTTTAAGGCATCAAGTGGACAAAATGTTCTAGAGAGCATGTTTCAGAGGGAGCCATAGTGACCCTCTTCCACATGGGCAGCACAGGGGTCTACAGCACACAAGCAAACCTCAGGCGTTGAGGCTGGCGTTTGACATAAGTACATTGAGTGCCTACTGTATGCCAGAGCCTTTTTGAATGAAAATATCTCCATCCTTGAGGCTCTTCCATTCCAGTGGGATGAGACAATCACCATTTATTAAATATTTATTTATTAATAATTATTAAATGAGTTACTTATTTTAGAACACAGTGACTATTACGGAAAATAGAGCAGCGGAAAGAAGTACAGAATGGTGGGAGAAGGTAGGGTTGCAATTTAAATACAGTGAAGGGGCTGGGGTGCAGCTCAGTGGTGAGTGTTTACTTAGCACGCACAAGGTCCCGTCCTTGGTACCGCAGGAAATGAATTAAGAAAATAAGCCAACCAGGGTGCTGTACACTTGAGTGGCTGAGGCGGGAGGATCCCAAATTTGAGTCCAGTCTAGGCAGTTTAGCCACTATGACGACCCAGGGTGAAGGCCCTAGGTTTAATCCCCAGTACTGCGGAGATACACGCATGTGCAAGAGAAAGCCTGGTTCAGAAGGTGTGTGGGGAACGGAGCATTCTAGACAGCAAGGGCAGTGGGTTCGGAGGTCTGCGGTAGGCACGGGCTTTGTTCAGGAGGGATAAGGAGACACCAGATGGAGGGAAGAGGAAAGGTCAGGGTGGTGATGGGCAGGAACAGGTGAGGCAGAGCCCTGTGAGCCCTGTGAAGTGAGGGAGCTTGACAAGGCCCAGAGGGGTAAGGGTCCTCCTGTGGTGCCCATCCTGTGTTCTCCATCCCTAGCATGGCGTCCTGTCCCAGCAGTTTGTGGAGCTCATCAACAAGTGCAATTCCATGCAGTCTGAGTACCGGGAGAAAAATGTGGAGCGCATCCGCAGGCAGCTGAAGATCAGTGAGTGGGGTCCCAGCCTCCAGGAGGGGCCAGGCAGCGTGGAGCCAGCTCTGAGCTTCCCCCTGTCTTCACAGCCAATGCTGGAATGGTCTCTGATGAGGAGCTGGAGCAGATGCTGGACAGCGGGCAGAGTGAGGTGTTTGTGTCCAATGTGAGTGGCCAAGCCAGCCTCTCTCTCCCGGGCTCCCCCTCCTCTCTGTGCCTGGTGCCTTTTAGTTGAGGGCAAAGTGAAGCCCCAAAGGGGAATAAGAAGCGCGCCTGGAGTTGCCGTCATGCTCAGGCCTTGCTCCTAGGCCGGAGGGGGGGCCCTGCCCCAGAAGCCCAACAGGAACTTCTAGCCTGTTGCTAGCTTCCCTGCGACCTGTTCCCCCACTCTTGTGCACCCCCAGATACTGAAGGACACACAGGTGACTCGACAGGCCCTAAATGAGATCTCAGCTCGGCATAGTGAGATCCAGCAGCTGGAACGCAGCATCCGTGAGCTTCATGAGATCTTCACTTTTCTGGCCACTGAGGTGGAGATGCAGGTGGGCCCCCCAGGAAGCCCCCCAGAGAGGAGGAACCCTCTGCTATGACCCAGGGCTGACCTTTTCCCTCAGACTCTCCTTCACCCTTGGCCATGCCCCCAGGTGGCCCTGAGTCCGACTTAGCCAAATCCCCAGCTGCCCAGAGAGTCACTCCTATATGCATACATGGCATCTCACATGGCCCTCTAACTTGCGCCCACTCAAGGCATAGCCTCCACCCTGGCTCCTCTTCTGACAGAATCCACCAGTATGCTTCTAAGAACTCCAGTCAGAGTTGTTCCCAAAAGCCAAGCGTGACTGTACATGCTTATAATCCCAGCTACTTGGGAGGCTGAGGCAGGAGGATTGCAAGTTTGAGGTAGCCTGGGAAACGTAGCAAGGCCCTGTCCCAAAATAAGACTAAAAGGTACTTGTTAAAAATAAGGTACTTGTTAAACATAAGGTACTTGTTGGTCTGCTTCCTAAAATCGGCCCATGGTTGGGGTTCAGGTAGCATTCTTTAACCCTGGTGAGGGACTGAGGTAAACTTCTAGCCATCCTGGAAGAGTTGATCTCTAGTGCCTCAACCAGTGCCCTTTGCAGCTGGAGTCATGGGAAAGGGCTCTCATTCCGTGAGAATGTCTAGACTGAGGGCTGGTAGTGCCAGCAGGAGGCAGGGACAGGGAGGGCTTCATAGCAGCTGGGAGATAGGCCTAGAAGGATGGGTGAATGCAGATAGATTTGTGAGGGGACAAAAGTTCCTGGGTGGAAAAGGTGTGAGCTGCTGGGCATGGGTGTGCACACCCGTTTCCCCGTGGCGGGCCACCCCGGCCTCCCTGAACCGCCTCGCTCTCTGAGCAGGGGGAAATGATCACCCGGATTGAGAAGAACATCCTGAGCTCAGCGGACTACGTGGAGCGTGGGCAGGAACACGTCAAGCTAGCCCTGGAGAACCAGAAGAAGGCGAGAAAGGTGAGCCTCCGCCCTGGCCCTGGCCCCGGCCCCTGGCACTCCTGCGATCCCCCTGACCCCTCCTCTCCTGCAGAAGAAAGTCATGATCGCCATCTGTGTATCCATCACGGTCCTCATCCTGGCGGTCATCATTGGCATCACCACAGCAGTTGGATAGCGTCGCGTTCTTGGTGAGACGGGGCGCCTACCCTACCCCTGCCTTCCCTGCCCTCCCACTGCCCTCACAGCCCTCTCTTCCTCCTTCCTGCGCAGGTACTGGGAGCACCAGTGATCTGGGGCCTGGCCTTTGCTCCCAGCAGCTGTGGGGGCAGGCAGAGCCTCGGCAGATCCTATCCTCTTACTGGCCCCTGTGCGGGGGGCTGATGGCTCTTCTGGAGTTGGCAGCTGCTCATTCGTGGGGGCCTTCCCCATCAGGCCGCCGCCAGAGGGAGGGTCTGCTGTGTCCTCTTTGGTTGGGACACACGGTTTTGTAAAAAATTAAAAAAAAAGGCTTGCACACCCGTCCATGTGTTTCTGGTGGGGCTGGCACAGGGCCTCAAAGCTCCTGGGCCCTGACTTCCCAGCCATCCCTAGGCTTAGTTCAGACTGCTCACGGCAGCCAGGACTACAGGTGGCTAGTCCTGCCTTTCTGCCATCCTATGAGGGTGTGGAGAGGGGACATGAACCCTTGGCTCCCAGCCAGCACTGTCCCACCGCTGTGAGTACACACCCACAAACAGCGGGATCTGTGTGTGAGGTCAGTGGCCTTCCTGAGGCCAAGAGCAAGAGGCATCATGAGAAAGACACTGAGTAATGGGCCAGTTACTGTAGCTGCAGTGATAGGAAGGCCTAGTCTTAGAGGGGATGGCATTTATTTGAAATGTTAAATGAGGAGGTGGCCCCCAGAAGAGACTGGGCAGAGGGGACAGCAGGCCAGGCCCTGTGGCCAGCCTTTTACTGCGCATCCTCTTAGAGCAGTTGTCCCTGCAGCATCCCGGCTCCTTGGAGGTTACCGGATGAGAGCAGGTAGAGGAGATGCACCACCCTGCTTCTGCAGGGTCCTGGGGTATGAGCTGATGCTACATTTCAAAGAGCCAGGCCAAATTCCTAGTTTCTGGAGCTGAATGTGGTTCTGACCCAGCACACCAAGCTTCAGGGTAAGCTGGCTGTTGGCCTGTTTGCAGTGGGGCAGGGCTTCGCTCAGGTCCCCAAGGTTAGGAGCTGCATTCAAGCCGCCTAGGCCTATGCCACTCTGGGCTGCTTTGTGTATTCCTGAACCTGGGCTGGGGAGTGGCAAGAGGGCAGATCAGGTCCTGGCTGGGCCTAGCCAACCCTGGCCGGCTGGGCTGTGTCGCTGGCTGGGTGTGGGCCCCCTTCCCAAGACAGCTGACCCACCAGCACCTGGTGAGGTCCCAGCCGCTGGGCGTAGAGGATGGGCGTGGTCAAGGCATCACTAGGACAGGATTGGCCAGCAGCCCTAGGTTGTCTCTGAGGAACACAGGGATTGGGCCACAAGGGAGTTATTCCCTCCCGCCCTCCCACTTGGTATTAAACAGCTCTTAGAGGAAGCTGCTATGGTGGGGCCACCAGAAGTCCCTCCTCATGCATCCGAAAGTGGTTGGATCCCAGAGTGCCAGGTCAGGATCAACTCCCAAAGGAGGCGGGGAAGGCAGAGGGCTCATGGAAGGACTAGCAGGGCAGTGAGCTGGACACTTTAAAGAAAGCACTCCTGATTTCCAGGAGTGTACTGGGCCAGGATGTGGCTCAGTGGCACTGCACCGATGTCCTGAGTTCGATCCCTGGTGTGTGTGTGGGGGGGGAGTGTACAAACAATCTAGATGACCGCCGTGTGCAGAAGGGTGGGCCTGGGCAGATCCTGCCTCAGCACCAGACCAGACTGATTTGGTCCTGGGGCTCTGGGCACCCTTGATTCTCAATCTCTTCCCCTGAGCCTTGCATTGCAACGGAGTTCTGTTGGCTTCCTCTGTCTGCTTTCTCATCTCTGCTTTCACAGTGATGGGATCTGAGGCAGACTCTGACGATCCACTGTACCACTGTACAGCTGGGTGTCATTCTTCCAGCCCTGCTGGACCGCGCCTCCCCTGAAATGGAGCTCACTGTCCCACCCAGGAAGCTGTCCAGGAAGAGGTATCTGGATGATCAGTTAGGTGAGGCTTTGGCTCACCAGTGGGCTCAGTAGTCTGCAGTCCCCCCGCGAGCTATGGGGACTCATGGAAGATTTGGACAGGCAAGTGACGAGATTGGAGCAGACTTGTCAGGCCAGGGAACAAGTAGAGCCGTACACTGAAATCCTGGCTTGGCTGCTGTCAGCTCCACTTTCATGGGACAGGTATTGACTAGGGGTGGCTTTTCCATATCCACCTGGTGTTATAACCTGTCAGCTACAGTTCAGTTACTCAGTATTCTGTAGTTTAGATTCCCAAGAAAAGGAATTGGTGTAGTTCATGCTGCAGGTCAGGCTACACTGACCTAGGAGCTACTGTCCACCCTCGTGTCAGACTTTACCCTTTGCCAAGATGTGTGTGGGTGACACAGGGCACAAATCACTGCAGCACAGTGCTTGTGTGTGTGCGTGTCAGAGGGAGGAGTGAATGAGCTGTGCATGTGCCACCCAGTGGGCCTGTCCCATGCCATGCGATGGTACAACTGTGCATGTACCACTGTTGGTTCAGAGCCACCCAGCAGCGAGACATATGAATTCTGGCTCCATCGTGAACATGTTAGCTTTTCTTGTACACCCCTGTGGTTGACTGAGCTTTTTGTTTCTGGTACGGGGGATCGAACACAAGATTGATTGAACTATTGCTCCAAACAGTCACTGTCTTTCTCCACTGGGTTTCTGCTATAGGAGGACTGTACATTCATGTCCTGGTGACAGGCTTGGCTCTATGCCTTGGCATTGGCGAATGGAATCTGAGTCGAAATATAAAACACCAACTGAGACACCTTAGGCATCACTGAGCTGTGTGGCAGCTTCCGCTCTGTCCCCTCTGTCATGAACCTGACAGTGTTTGTTACTGTGCTATGGTTTAAAAAACTATTACAGAATTAATACCCAAAATTGGAGTGATGCTAAAAAAAAAAGCTTAAAATAGGTGGCACTGGCCTTAAGCTGAACAGTGACTGGTAAGAAGACTATTATTGGAAGATGTGAAGATGATGACTCATGCCTCCACTTAAACTGTAAACTGGGAATAACTAAGAATACTGTATAAAAATGACCACATGAGGCTAGGGCATTAGGCAAAATAATTGTTTTTTGTTTTCCTGGTACTGGGGATCAAACTCAGGACCTTGTGCTTGTGAGGCAGGTGCAGAGCCACTAGCTAAATCCCTGGCCTAGGCAAATTAAATGAGAGGGAAAATACTGATAGCATGCCTTAGCTGCTGTTAGGTGCATTTCACAAGTTATTATAAGAAAAAATGGTCAGGGCCCAGGGATTTAGCTCAGTGGTTCCACCGCCTGCCTTGCAAGTGCAAAGACCTGAGTTTGATCCCTGGTAACAAAAAAAAAAAAAAAAAAAAAAAAAAAAAAAAAAAAAAAAAAAAAAAAAAAAAAAAAAAGGAGGACACACCGGAGTCATTTAAAAAGCATGTACCTGGAAAAAAAAAAAAAAAAAAAAAAAAAAAAAAAGAAAGAAAGAAAGAAAGAAAGAAAGAAAGAAAAGAAAAGAAAAGAAAAAATGGTCAGTTTTTAAGCAGAAATAGGAAAGAATATACCAGGCAAGTGATCTACTCTGTAAGTTACTTGGGATGAAACAAAAGCCTTGCTCATGCTAGACAAGTATACTTCTACTGCACTACCTCCCCAGATACGTGATCTACATTTTTAACTAGTAAAGCAGAGAACAGCCTTAAGAGCCAGTGTTATTCCAGCACTTGGGAGGCTGAGGGAGGAGGATCATTTTGATTTTGAGTCCAGCCTGGGTTTCACAGTGAGTTCAAGGCCAGCCTGAACTACATAGCAAGACCCTGTCTCACCCCCCACTATAAGTGAGCTTAAGTGACAAACTTTGATTAAAACTCACCTTTGTGGCAAGGGCCATATCATGCCTTTTGTAAAAATCTCTGAACTGATCAAATTAGTTTCCAACAAATTAGGATGATTTAGAGGAAAGAGATAGAGTTAGTTCTCTCCAGGGAATTATTAGGTTTAATTTACTTACAATTAAGTCTAAAGAGGCAGGCTTGGTGGCACGTGCGTGCCTGTAGTCCTAACACTCTAGGAAGCTGAGGCAGAGGATCACAAGTTCAAGCCACCCTGGGCAACTTTGCAAGAGAGAGGAGAGAGAGAGAGGGATCTGAAATGAGTTATAGGTACTACTGTTGTTTTCACCCTGCTGCTGTTACATCCCTATGGCACTGTTCTCACCACCACTTTCAGAGCCTCACCTTTGTGAAGGTAGAAGGGGGAGGGGTGGCTTGCTCCTCCCGCCCCTCCCCCTTCCTTTTTTCCTTCCCTCCTATGTGTGTGGTACTGGAGATTGAACCCAGTTCTTTTGAACTGAGCTAAATCTCCTGGCCTTTTATTTTTTGAGGTAAGTTTTCGCTAATTGACTGAGTGAGTGTCCAGGTTGGGCTCAATATGTATTCTGTCTCAGCTGAGTGATAGAATTACAGGTGTGGCACCATCATGCTCAGCTCTAGAAATCAAGATTGTTCTTAGGCCAGGCCTTCAGCTCAGTGGTGCTGCTGTGTGCCTTGCAAGCACAAGGTCCAAAGTTTGACCCCTGGTACCAGAAAAAAGCGGGGGGAAATGATTGTTCTTGTTCTTGACAGGGTCTCATGGTGCACTTCAGGCTGGCCTCAAACTCATGGCAATCCTTCTGCTTCAGCCTCCAAAGTGCTGGGATCACAGGTGTGTGCCACCATGCCTGGCTATCTCTGTTCCCTTATAAGGGCCCTTGTGATTACACAGGACCCACTCAGATAATCTAAGACAACCTCCACATCTCAAGCTCCTTAATTTAATCCCATCTTTAAAGTTTCTTTTGCTACATCAGGTAACAAGGATTCCACAGATTAGGAGGTAGACATGTTTGGGGGCCATAATTTAGCTTTTCTATGCCTGGTCATTCCATCCTATTCCATATTTAGCTCATTTGTTCATTTATTCATAAAATGTGTGTGTTGGCGTTTGTTTGGCTGGAGTTTTCAATCCTTCTGCCTCAGCCTTGACTCTTGAGAGTTAGGAGGAGGAACTTGGTAGGTAAAATAATGACCCTTCATATTTCATGCACTAATCTCCATGAGTATGTTACAAGACAAAGGTAATTCACGGTTGAACTAAGGTCATTAACTATGGCTAACTAAAGTTAAACTAGGGAGATTATCTTGCATTATTCAGACAAGCCAATGTAATCACATGAGTGCTTAAAAGCAGAGAAATTTCTCTAGCCAGCAACAGAAAGGAAGGCAGAATGAAAGTCAGAGGAAATGAGCAGAGATTCCATGTGCCTTTGCTCACTACTAAGTGAAGGAGCCTACAGCCAAGGAATGTAGACAGCCTCTAGAAG